TAGTCAATAGTCAATAGGCTTCCAATTCGCTTTGGGTTCTACAACATCCATATAGGATCAAAAGTGAAATAACAGAAATTATACTTCCCAGGGAAGGGAAGGGTCTTCTTTCTAGCATCAGTAATTTAGTACACTGAATCCTACAATTGAAAAGGGCTGAGAAATCAGCACCCAGCAAGTGAAAGATTAAATTGATTACAAAATGTACAGAGGTGAGAATGGTAGCTATCACGGGTCGATTGCCATAGGTGTAATACGTCTTTTGGTAGGCTTATTTATAGTAGCAGTCTTCATTGAGCTTTGAGATTCTGGTATCCCTTCATTGCTTTCTGCTTCTGATTTTGCATTATATGCTGCAACGAGACTATCATTTGCAGTAACTTCAACTACCATGTCCTCTGGGTTCTCAACTGGACTTCTGTTCTCTAAATCAACGACTTCTTTTGCTTTCGTTTCTACTTCTGTTTTTCGATTCCCTTCTGCTTCTGAATTTCCATTATCTGCTGCAACAAGACTGTCAGTTGCAGTAGATTCAATTGCCATGTCCTCTGCCTTCTCAGCTGGCCTTTTATTCTGTTCACCCATGACCCTCTCTTCTTTCCTTTCAGCTTCTTTTTGTTGATTCCTTTCTTCTACAGTTCTTCCATTATCTTCAGCAACAAGGCAATCATTTTTAGTAGCTTCAATTTTCATGTCCTCTGGCTTCTGAACTGGGCTTTTGTTCTTGTCATGCATGACTTTCTTTTCCTCTGGAGCAAAATGAAACAGGAACCATGATGAACCAAACAGTGGAAGAAATGATGGATAAAAAGAAGTGCTGAAACATTTAGGAAATGGAAGGATATAAAACCTGATGAGCAGATAGGTGATCCCAGTTCATCATTTTCAAATTCTACCAAAGTGCAGTAACCATCTTGAGAAGACAATCCTAGGTATTGGGCGTTGGGTGACCTTTTGAACAACAAAAAGTACCAGCAATTTAAATTGCAGGAAACATTATCGGCAGTCAAAATCAATATAAGCACCAAAAAATAGTTTGTTGCAGAAAACTGACAAATTTTACCATGCAATGTCTGTTATGGCTGCATAGTGAAGACCAGCAAAGATTGCAATTGGAGGAACACTCTCTGTGTCATAAATGTACAAAGAATTTAAAGTGGCCACAGCAAAAACAATACGATGGGGAAGCTTAAAGAACCCGGCTGCAGATTCACCAAAGACTGTTAAATACTATAATTAACCAACAAAGCTACAATATATTTTACAAAATAACAATGTAAACCAGCATGAGTACATTGATTTGACCCCCGCAGGCTAAAGAGCAAAGGGCAGAAACGAACTGCTACAACAGGTTTGCAGGCACCAGGGAGCTGTAGAGCAGGCCTGCATTAACATGAAACTTGAGAATATAAATGTAAGAAGACAATTTCCTTCGAACTTTCATTTGCTTGACAGTTATGACACTGAAAAGCATAGGATCATGCTATGATGCCCAACTAGAAATCTAGGGATGTAAGGCTGGACTTTAATTCCATAATATACATATGAATCATTTTAAGACAACAATATTCCCAACTAAAAGGTAATATCTCTGACTTGCCTTGAAAGGTCCTTTCTAGAAAATACATAAGCTGTATTTATTGTCTCCGGTGCAGATGATATTTTGTAGGAACCTGAAATTGGAAGATTCTTATGTCAACAAAAAATTGTAATGGAACTAAACATAAGTGGTCATAATCAATAGTAGGGAGTTAGGCTTCAGAAGCTTGTGATAATTGCACTTCTTTCAGGAACAGAAATAACCTAAACTGCAAACCTCATATTATCCTTTTCAGTTTTCACCAAGAAAAATACTAAAATAAATTTAAACAAACCCATAAAAAATAAAAAGAAAGATCCAAAGATTCTTTCCAATTATTTCTCCCCCTCACTTGATGTTTGTTATTCAAGAAAAGCCGAATAACAAATTTAAGGCCATCACATCAAAGGGACTTGGAATATTTACAATCAATGTTTAATATCGGTGGACAAGACCCTTAGGGTATGTTTACGTATCAGTAATGGAGAAAGTAAGGAATCAGAGAATTTAGGAATCGAGGAAGTACTGAATCGGTATGGGAAGAATCATTCTCATTAAGCTGTTTACTAAACATATGGAATTAGCAAAGGAATGGGGTTGATTCCCAATGTTGTTGTTTACTAATTTTCATGAATCAGAATCCAAATTAATTTGATTACTAAAATGCCCTGCACATTTTCACCATAGCACATATATATTTCTCAAATTGGCTAAGGAGACCAAACTAATCCTGCATCAAACTAGCAAGGCAGTGTAAACATGAGGAATCAAGGAATCAATATGCTGAACAAGATGAACATCAAGAGCCCAGTTCAATGATAATGTTAACAACAACTTTGTCTACAACCAATTTCAAACTAATAAATAAACTCCAATAAATATATGTCTTAACTTCTTGGTGTGAGTTTTTATTTTTTTAAAGGTTTGGGGTGTTTTGGAATTATGGTAAAGTCGTAAGGGTATTTTTGGAAGTTATTAAGGGAAAACAAGAATGGGAATCGTATCAACTACCCTTCCCTAATTGATCTGATACCTAGTTTTGAGGGGATGTAATCCATGGATTTTGAGGTGGGGCCCACTTATTTTTCATTCCTGATTGCAAGTAAATGCAGGAGAAGTCAGGAATGGAAATCATTCCCTTTCTTGCCATACCCATTACTGATACGTAAACATGCCCTTAATGTCTTTCTGCTTCTCAATCAGTTAATCGGTTAAACTGAATCCTAGCAGCACACTATCTGTAATGACCCAAGGCGTCCTCAAAAGTGACATTTGAATTGAAAGGACTTACTTACGTACTCTAAAACTTGCCAAGGCATAGACAATGTGGGATTTAGGGGTATCCCAGCTTCTCATCCTTTAAGCCTTGGCCTATTTTCCCTTTCACTCACTGCCGAGGAGATGTCATCATAATCATGGCTCTTGAGTCTTATGTAGGTTGGACTAGTTCCTCCCATAACATTTGTGATGACCCAAGGCTTGCTCCAAAAGTGCTATCTGAATTCATAGACCTTACTTAAGTACCCTAGATCTTTCCAACAAATAACTGATGTGGAATTCAGGAGAATAGCACTGTCTATCCATCTCATAGGTTGTAATAATGGAACAAACTTACATTTGCCCAAAGTAGACAAACCCAATGGCAATGCTACTGAAGCAAACTCTGTTACAGTCCTCAGATAAGGCTCTACTCAATACTTCAGTCACAATATTTGCCAACCAAAAGGTTGGATGGGGAGAACAAATATACAATGTTATATTGGAAAACCAACCATTGCGGTGAGCGAATTAGACTACATAAGTCCACAGTTCACTGAGCATACAATTAGGCGAACTACCTGCTGGAACAAGTAGAAATGATCCATCAGGTGACCATGCTAATCTTCGAAAGAAAGATGGCAACGTCTCATCATGAAAGAGATGGTATTTTGCAGACTGCATATAAAAACGTACAAGAGGCTAAGAACATGTACCAGGTCGAAACCAACAAAAACTAGAATGAATTCACATTATCCACCTTAAGGGCCTGGATCTAACAGATATTACTTATCATTTTATATCAGGCCCAATAAGCTCTTGGTTTTAAGTCTCAGATTTTGGGACAGTCCCCTTTATTTGAAGGAACCCTCGAATATAAGGGGCACACTGTGGAGCCCACTCCACATTGTAGTTCGATAATCTGATGTCTATCTTTTAAGTTTCTGTCAAATGATCATCATTGCCAAAAGAAATAAAGAATCAGCAAAATAAAAAAAACCATTCAATCATTTGATTAAGGGTGGTAATTTCAGCCAAAATGGTAACACTATGTTCGTCTATTTATTTGAAAACAATTAGATGTCTTAATAGTTTTGGATTAGGTTCATTTTTTGCAAGGTTGATCCTTTGGTAGAGACTTAAACCATAGATGGTTCCAATCCTCAACCTACAATGCACAATGGGCCCCACAAAGTGTCTACTAAATAAAATTGGATTGTAATCAAATGGCTAAACAATTTCCATTTGAATGGATATTTTGTATGGATGATCCTTGAAAGAGAACCTAAAAGTTAAAAGCTTCCAACCATTTGGACCACGTGTTGGGGTGAGGATGTGATGCAGGACACGCAGGGCCTAAATTTATTAGTTTCCGAATGTACTTGTTAGTTTCCTAGATACTCTAGTTTTCCAAATTCTAGTATAGTAGGTGATGCAGGACGCATAGGACCTAAATTTATTAGTTTCCTAATGTATTTGTTAGTTTCCTAGATACTCTAGTTTTCCAAATTCTAGTATAGTAGGTGATGCAGGACGCATAGGACCTAAATTTATTAGTTTCCTAATGTATTTGTTAGTTTCCTAGATACTCTAGTTTTCCAAATTCTAGTATAGTAGGTGATGCAGGACGCATAGGACCTAAATTTATTAGTTTCCTAATGTATTTGTTAGTTTCCTAGATACTCTAGTTTTCCAAATTCTAGTATAGTAGGTGATGCAGGACGCATAGGACCTAAATTTATTAGTTTCCTAATGTATTTGTTAGTTTCCTAGATACTCTAGTTTTCCAAATTCTAGTATAGTAGGTGATGCAGGACGCATAGGACCTAAATTTATTAGTTTCCTAATGTATTTTTTAGTTTCCTAGATACTCTAGTTTTCCAAATTCTAGTAGGATTTCTACTTTTCCAGATTTCCAGATTTCTAGTTTTAAGTTTCCTATTTTATTTGAATTTGAGTTTAAGCAAGGGATTTGTATCCTATTATGTCTAGGTTTTAGTTTGCTATAAATACTCCCATGTAGTTCTTTAAAATTGAGATTTGAATGTTGAGTAAGCCTTTTCCTAGAACTCTCTAATTTCGTCCCTTCAATCTATATTTCTTCTCCTAGATCTCCGATATTCTTCTTTGTTCTACTGTTTCTGCCCTTTATCTCGTCTTTTCGATCTATATTTCTTCTCCTTGGTCTCTTATATTCTTCTATGTTCTATTGTTTGAGTGCTTAATCTAATTCCTACGGGCTGTACTACATCAGGATGTTCGCAGATTTTTCTTAAATGAGGACATCCTCACTTGAAGCTTCATGTATGCATGTATATATATCTGATCTATTTATTTTCTAGAATACACATAGCACATTGGTTTCAAACTGCATGAGTCAAATGCATAGGATCAATAGGCCCGTCCCTGATTTGGTCCGCCCTAAATCACCTAAGCTTGCTGTGTTGCCAACTATACTTTAAACAAATATCCAATGGATACAAAAGGTTAACTATTGAATTTAAATTCTTACGACAATGTCTTAAGGACCTTCCACGTTGTGCTAGTTTCTGTTGCATGCAACTTCCATACAATCAGCTCACCTCCTGATTAATAGAAAAAATAAATAAATAAATAAAAAGAGGAAAAGGTACTTTAAGGGAACAATGAACTAGAAAAATAAGTGAATAAAGATGGTCAAGTATATATAAAAATAAATTCAGTAATATGAGTGATCTTCATACCATCTGCACCAGAGGCAAGTTGTTCTCCTGCATCATCATCAAAGGAGTGATATCAATTCCACCATAAAAGAGAACCGTAATGAGGGAACATGTGTCAATAACACAATTTTCCAAGCTTCAATTTTTTAAATATTAAAAAAGAAATCTCATTTTATTGCAAAGCCAATCTTC